CCCTCGTTAGCCCTCTCTTTGTCTCTTTAAAAGCCTCCCTCTTCAGTTCCTGTTGGCTGGATCCTCGTCTAACTTCTGTCTGTGTACCTCGTCTCTCCCTGGCTCCTAGTTTTGGTTTACCCCTGATGTCTCCTTGGTTCAGGTGCGTTTGTTGTTTTCTGTTGGACTTTGATTCCTGCCCCTGGACCTGTGAACCTTAATAAACCGACTTTAATTCACCTCTGCCAACTTGTCTCTGCATTTGGGTCCTCCAAATAAACAACGTTTCATGACAAGATGTGCAAAACTGATAGGGACAAACTCCAACGGATCTGCTGCTGTGATCACTGCACACACATAATTTTTCAGTTTTTTATCTGTTCAAGTTTAAAATATCCAATCAATTTCATTCCACTTCATGATTGTGTCCAAATTGTTGTTGATTCACAAACAATTGCAATTTTATATCTATAGCTTGAAATCTGGCAAAAGTTTGAAAAGTTTAAGGGGTTGAATACTTTCACAAGATTCACTGATAGTCTCCAGTAAACTGGTTTGTACTCTTGATGTTTACCTCAACACTAAGTCTAAAGTTTGATGACTATGAACAGCACAGATGTTTAATCGTTCAACATTTTTTGTGGAAATGTAAAATATTTTAAGAAATTACAGGTAATGATGTGTTATTTTTTCATCTTTTGAATTTGGCATCAAATGGCTGTCTCTTAGTAAAAAACGATTTACTTTAATGTTTAATTGACTCAGGGTGAACCAGGAAGCCCAGGAAGTACCGGCCAACCGGGACCTCCTGGACAAAGCTCTGCTGGAACAAAGGTAAAACACCCAATAAACTATTTTCACGTTATTAAAACACTAATTTATTATACATTTTTTTTATTCATGTTTATACATTTTTAGGAGAAAATAAATTAATAGAGCACATTCAGAACCCTCTTCATATTTCTTTCTCTTTTCCTCACAAGGCTATGCAGGAGAATTTGACTTGTATGTTTATGTAGATGAGAATATCATTAGTGATTTTCACCAGAGCTGTTTCAGTGCTATGATGAGCTCTAAAGCCAGACTGAAACTCTTCAGAAAGTT